GCATCCTGGGCCTTCCCCCCCCCCCCCCCCCCGGTTTTGCGCGGCTATATTTAGCTCTTTTTTTTCTGAAGATGCTTCCCATTCCCTTATTTTTCCCCTCTCTTAAGCACAACAAAGGTCCTGCCCAGCAGATTTTCTCAGATGAGGAGTGTGTATTTATACCCACCATTGTGTTTTCCAGGGCATGCATTCTTTCTTCGCTTTTCCTTTAGTGTACTGAAGGACCAAGCAACAAGACACCCCTATTCATTCTTCCTAGTGGAGAATGCAAAAGTCCCACTTTAGTCTACGGGAGGAAAATCGTGCTATTTCACAGCACTGATGTCACCAGGATAGTTAGGGTCTTCATAATCCAAGCCAAAAACCTCCTCAAACAAATATGGTTGCCACAGTGTCAGCTGATGCCCATACATCCTTAAGGATGCACCTAAGAGCACTACGTGTGGGGTTTGCATAGGGTTTTGAAAATGCAGCGTGCTGTATACTGGCTTCATCCGAAGGCTATTAAAACCGTTGGGAGTTGTTTCATAGAGTTTAGTGGGTGCTGGGTTATGCCCTGCAAGAGCTTGGCATTGTAAGTAGCATTAATATATTGGATGGGATCATTAGAAATTTCTACTCGATGGTGGTCCATAGAAGAATGGGATGCTTCCATGCAGACTGTAATGAACAGCAATAGGACTGTCATACAAGAGTAAGGCTTGGATGGGGAGCAGATTGAAGTGTCTCTTGCTGGCTTCCGTTGGAGAAGGAGATACAAGCTGGATAGGTGTCGGGGTCTAATCCAGTGTGATGGCCCTTACATTCCTATGGCCTGAGCGTGTCTTTGCAGGATTCGAGTCAATTAGCTAACATTTGCAGAAGTTCAAGGAGTGAATAGCCTGGCAATAGTGTTATAGTCCACTGTGCTGGCATGGCCAAAGAGCTGCATAAATAACATCCCATTGTATGAACTCTGATTTGCTGAAACTCTTGTTTCAATCCCAAATGCCTTTATATCTCTCCCCTTCTGAGACTAGGTTAATGCACATTCCCTAGAGCTTACACAAGCTTCTGGTGGCTTCCAAGAGCAATGCAAAATCCAGGTTGTAATGCATTTCACAGCCGTGCTGTAACGAGGACTACATTTAATGGGAATAGCTGTGGGATTAGGCTTTTCAAGCAGAAGCAAAACTCAGCATTATTATTATTCCTCCCACCAACCAGACAGTGGAATTGCTTAGTATGATACCCTAGAGTATAACTAGGACTAATGGAATGATACTAAGAAAAGGAACATTTCGTCTCAGTCAGGAAATTCCTGATGGGGAGATGTATTAGGCAGTGGAAGTGTCTCCTTGCGGAAGCAGGGGAAACCTGGTTGCTTGAGAGTTTTAAAACGAAACTGGACAAAACCCTAGACCAGTAGTCTCCAAAGTGGGGTGCGCGCAAGACGATCCATTGGGGTGCGGGAAGAAAATATTAGAACTTCTATTTCTACTTCTATTTATATAAATATACATATATTGGGGGTGCATGCTCAAAAATTTTTTACTGATAGGGGTGCGCGATCAAAAAAGTTTGGTGACCACTGCCCTAGAAAATGTGCTGAAGAGAGACGAGCAAGTTGCCTCCAAGTTAATCAACAGTTCCCTAGTATGTAAATGAACTCATGTCACTTATGAGTTATCTCTGAGGTCACAATCTGATTCTGCCCTCAACCACTGCACTTCAAGAAGGGCTTCTAGGGATGGGATAGAGGAAGCTGGCATGAAGGACTCCCTCTTGCTACCACTGAATTGCAGCTGCTATCTACCCTGCTTAGCTCTGATGGCAAACTACATCCACTCACTGAAGAGGACAGCCACTCTGAGCAATGGAGAGACTCTTCCAGTGACCACGGACACACTGATGAGTTCACAAATGGAGATGAGTCGCCCTCCCACCGGACATCTCATCTCCACGCTGGCATCTGCCATGTGCAGCCAGCACGTGGCAGACGTGGAAAAGCTGCGGCGACAACTAAAAATCGTGCAGACAGACATGCAGGATTTCAAGCAAGAAGTCAGCGGGCTGCTCCATCAAGTGAAGACCACACTCAGCTACATGATGGAGGTGGTAACAAGGCTCGAAACCAGCAGCCACCACATGGAGCAAAGGCTGAGGGAAGAAGAAGACCGAGGTATAGTGCGAAGCAAGGTGCTTGCATTCTTGCTGCCAAGAGAGAAAGAACTGCGGGAGAAATGTGCCAGTCTAGAGAGGAGGCTTTGCTGGAAAGATGGCAAGGTCTACCAAGTCCTCAAAAGCATAAGGGAAAAATAATAAGGTTGCTTATATTTGATCCCACCTGAGAACTACTCTGGACTTTCAAAGAAGATGAGCCGTAAAGAGACAGCGAGAGTGGAACAGCCATGCCAAACCTCTTGTCATTTGGAAACCGAGCTGTATAAAGAAGGAGTCTTTTTATCATTCATTATTTTACACACCTCTTATTCACCTGCTCGCTCTGAACAGTCCTGATCTCCATGCTCTTGCCACCTCTCTGTGACCCTCACGATTTGGGTTGCCCTTTGCTGCACCCTTCCCCATTTCTGCCTCGTGCTCATTTCCGAGCTTCCTCCGCTCCTTTTGCTTTCGGTGGGAGTCGAGGACGCTTGGACTGGCAACGGATCGGGTTTTGCATAGTTAGTGTTCTGCTGGCATCACAGAGCAGGAGTTGCGCATGTCATCAGGACCGATCCTTTGGGAGGGACGTGCGTGTCGACTCTCCCAGGGCCTTCTTCAAAGCCTGCTCTGGTCAGCAGCGAGACAGTGATGGCATTAGGCTGTGGCTCATGCCCGCTATCTGCAGCTGGCTGTGTATTATCTCTGTAATGCAGCAGCCGATGCTGCCTTATTGGGTTCAGTGAAGTTACAACACGCGTGTAGCTGAGGGCAGAGCTTAACCCTGTCGAGAAATGGGGGCATCGGTACTCAGACAGCCAGGAACTTTTGTTCCCAGCTCTCATTTCCTTTCCATCCTCCTGTCCACAGTTCCTGGTTGCTGTCACCAACCCTATTATGTGGCCCCAGCCTCCTCCTGTGAATCTCCTATCATAGCAGCAAAGCAAAGCAAGCAAACAAAAAATAATAACCCCAGCATTGCTCCTTTTCTCCCTCAATTCTAGAACAAATAGAAAAAAATGTTTAAAAAAAAAAAAAAAAGGCAGCAGCAGTAGCAGCAACCACGGAACAGATGGTGAATTTTTTTGGTAACGCTATTTCTCTCCAAGGTTTTTTGCCTCTGCGTCTGCGCAGGCTCCGTGCCCATCCAAGCTCTCCCCGCGGTAAGTGTGAATGGTGCTGCTGCTGATCTTATGGATATTGATTCCATCTCACAAAAATGTGTTGCAGCAAAGGGAATTCGCCCTGTCGACCTTCAGCTTTGCTTTCCTGCTGGAAGTTGGTGACGCACGAGCAAATGGCAGAGCCATACCAAATGGAGTGGTGGGGGGTGGAGAAATATTTGCCAGTTCGATTTTGTGGAGGAAACTTTGTGGACAGATCCTAAAATTAATATGTGCCTTGTCCCCCCCAGATTTATCACCGGTGCCCTTGCAAGTCAGAAAAAGCTCTGACTTCACATCAACCTGTGGCTTGTGGAGAGGAAAGAGAGAGAGCGGTGGAGTGGTTGGGGAACAGGTTTGGGAGCCTGGTTCCTAGTTCTGTTATCATCTGCTTGATTTGGGCAAGCGGTGTGCCTCAGTTTCCCTGTCTTTAGAATACAAATAATGAGTCTTCACAAGGGGTCTTTTGAAGGTTGGTTAAGCCTGTCGGTCATCAAGCAGAAGGGCCTATGGTCAGGCACAATATTACTGCACCCTTGTACTGCCTAATAAAATGAGTCTGATGTCGATGGCCGTGGTTCTCAACTTTTTTTGGACTCGAGGCATCCCTTGCTGGACATGAGGTCTCCTCCATAATTTTTGTAAACCGAGCGGCACACAATTTAAAAACTGAATATATATATATTTTTGTGCTTATCTCCTTGCAGACAGGTTGGGCGGTAGGGGTCGGGTATCAAGCGGGCAGGGACAAGCCATTTATCTGCTTAGCTCCCCACCCTTCAAAGGATCTGGCAGCACCCAAGGGTGCCGTGGCCCCCCGTTTGACCATCATTGGTGTAGGGTGATATTGTGTTTGAGAAGGGCTCAAGTCACTTGGATCCAGGCTCTTCCGAAGCTTGGGAGTGTTTTGTTCGGGAATTTGTTTCGGCCCTGTCTCTCTTCTGTTTTTCACAGAAATAGCTGAGGCAGAGCTGAAAGTGGGCATCTAAACTGTCCTCATCAACCTTGGCACACCAATACTTGTCTGGAGTCCCCTGGTGTTACTATATAGACCCCAGTGCAAGATCAGGGCATAAATTCATATAGTGATAGTAAAATGCAGCCACATCTGGGGCACAACAGTGCACAACAGTGGGAGGAGGGGAAATTTTAGCCACAGCCACTAAGTGAAATGCCTCCTGCTGCAAAACAAGCCTCTCTTTCTAATGCACAGTGGTGTTTCCAGACTGCCCGTACGGGTGCAGAGATTTGCCCACAGGCATTACAGGACAGGATTGGCCTCTGTGCCGGTGGCTGCACTTGTTCTCCAGCCAGGCAGCTTCTTTCGGTATTGTCCTGGATTCTCTAAGCAATGCCACGTATCACAAGTAAATGCTTATTTCCCTACATTGGCCTCTGATCCTTGTCTCTTCCATCTCCCGTCCAGAGTTTTAATTGTTGTTGTTATTCCTGTAATTATTCTTAGAAAGTCAGTTTTATGCTACGAGATAGTTGGCCTGCTTCTAAGTCATTATCAGCTTGCTCCGTTGCTCCCAGCCCAGCCCAGCTGGAGATGAGAAGAGGGGCTCCCAGGAGACAGCCTCCAACCCAGGGCTGTAGCTGCAGACTTCCAGGGGACACCACCTGTTTCTGGGCAGCCCATCAGGACAGGGCTCCCTTAACAGGTGCTGCTCTCAGAGCATGTTCTCGTTAAGGTGGGTGATTGCAGCTGTGCCAACAGCCAGCTCCAGCCAGGCAGGGTAGCAGGCTGTGTAGTAGCCGTCTGGTCCTCAAGCCAAATGCAGACCACGGGCTCCCAGAGCAGGACTTGGTAGATGGATCTTCCTTGGAGAGTCAAGCTGGGTAAGCTGAGGACTGCGGGGGTGTGAAATGCAGGCAGGTTCGGGACGTGGTACGGAGGGCAGGGGGCTCGTGAAGAGAGCCCAGGGGTAGGGGAGTTAGTAAGAGCAGGTATTTGCTGGGAAGGACAGCGCGGAGGCATGCTGGCATCCTCACGGTTGGAGGAGCAGGCCTGGGGGTTCGACCCTCCCTTGGTGGCACCAGCGCTGGTGTTACACTGGCAGCACCTGGGAGCCGCCTTCTTTCAGGGGGGACCGAGCAAAGAGCTTGCTTGAGTATTTTTAAAGCCGAGGGCTATTCACAGGACTAGCCCGTGCCCTTTCTCTTCATAACCAGGGTTTGGCTTGATGTGGGAGAGGAAAGGGACATCTTCCTCCCCCTGGAAAGCTGGTATGAGGTGACACAGGTGCTTAGCAGGTCTGAGCAGACTAGCACAGCGACCATCCCTTTGTATAACAACCATGACGTCCTCCGGCCAAAGCCACGGACCCCTCCCCTGTCCCGACACGGGGCATTTAGCCAGTGCTGACCCATATGTTGCCAGCACCGTTGTTACCCTTTCTGACTGTGCGTGGACTAGCTGTCAGGCTTAACAGTTTCTATTTGAATTTAACACATCTATGCTAAACATGCCGTATTAGGCCTCTCCAGGGTTGATCAATATTTAATGTGGAATTTACAAAGATTGACTCGAGGATGCATTTAAAATTGGAGCATTAGCCGCAGGTGGCAATTTCTGAGACACAGCAGCAGAGTTTGATTATTTAGCGAGATGGCATTTTGTAAATTTAAAATAATACAGAGGGCGGTGGGCCCTGCTGCTGCGTGCTCTTTCCTAAACTGTTGACTTTTCAATTGTTTTGTTGGTATTCAGCATTAAACAATGGCGCAAGATTATTTATCTGCCACGTATGATTAGTCCAGTTTCTCATCCTGCTGCGCCGTGCTGTCTGTTGCGGGCACTGCTCACCTAATGCAAAGAGGAGGCCTGAAAGGAAAAACAACTCCACCTCCCTTTCTCTTGCATTGTGCTTTTCACCTGTGGATCGCAAAGGGCGGATGGATCGTCAGCACCATTTTGTAGAGCGGGGAGGGCTTGGCGGAGAGTGACCTGCACAAGAGCGGCAGCAAGTCAGTGGGGGAGCTGCGGGTCGAACCCAGGCCTGCAAAGTCCCAGCCCTGAACCCTGTTTGATGTAGCTGCAGATCTAGAATATCTTTGGTGGTGGGGGCGTGCAGGGAGAGTGTGGAAACGGTCGGGTCCAGGAGGTTGGTTTTGTGTGTACCTCAAATCCATCTTACATGCGGTGTTAGACTTGGGAGGAGAGCTAGAAAAAAAGCTCTTAATTGCTGGCTCTTAAGTTTCACAGCTGCTAAGAACCTATCAGTCCAGTTCGAGTCACTGGGAGTTATGGGTGTGCAGAGTCGTGCCTGATACTACAGAAACCATTAGTGGCCGAGTCTGGGTTAGAATTTGTTAGTTGTCAGCTCTCGCCCCTGTGTCCATGCACAGCACTTGCCTTCTAATATTGCTCAGCATGGATAGATTCCCACTGTCCCCCCTCCCCCCCCCACGCGCCCAGCGCTTGGGTAGATTTTTGCTTAGACGAATTGCTCAAATATCAAAGGGTTGGCTTTGTAAATGCAATGGCAATACCCTGGCATCATGCCTGGTGTGATGCCCAAGAAGAACTTCACTGAACTGCACTGATTGGAAGGGGAAAATTTTCTGAACTGCACTCCTCTCCGTGCCCAAATCTAACCCACCAATGACACAGAAGTTACGCGTGCTGCATCATTTGAACAAAATCTGTTTGCTGATCAAATAGCCTGAGAATAAAACAGTGGGGTGGGTTTTGGGGGAGGGGAGGTTGCTAATTTTTTTTGAGTACCTTGTGTTTGCATGGCACTTTGAATGCACTGCTTGCTAAGTATTAATTAGTAATAGCAAGAGATCCCCCTCTCCCCCCACAGAAATAGAATGGCATTAGCCCAAAAACAGATTTGAGAGTTGGCCTGGGGTGGGGGTTTTGTGGGCAAAGGAAAACTCCCCGAATATTAGTGCTTGCGTGCATGTGATGGAGATTTCGGCTGTGTACATATTTAGGGGTGCTGTTATCTAGATCATGATAAGCCTTCATAATATACATCAAGCGAATGCATTCTCAACCAGCCCAGCTTTTCTTTGTGTTGCTCGGCATGTTCAGTGACACTGTTATTGGCATCCTTGAGACCTGGGCCACTTCTCTTCCCTACCTTCCCCAATAAGGTCT